CAAATATAAATACTTGTAAATATCATAAATTTTCTATGATATGTGCTGAAAAAAATGTAATAATATTAAGAAAATTTATGTCTTCATTAAATATCTAATAATAAATAAAAATAAATAAGTAATTATAAAACTTTATTTTATTTCAAATTAAATTTTTTTTGTTCTCATCATCAACATCAGCAGACCTTTCCATTCATATACACATACATATTAAATACTTATCAATCAACTATGTGCACATTATTAACACACTTTTCTAGGGGTGGAGCATCTATATATGTATATACATATGTACGTATGTACGTTTGTATATATTTCAGACTGCATACCAACACACTTTACTAATTTTCGACATATAAACCACCTGGTATCGGATTTCTCAGATTTCCATCAGCGGTACACCCTGTGATCGATTCCGGTTCTGAATGGTATCGGATTTCTCAGACTTCCATTAGCGGTACACCCTGTGATCGGTCCCGGTTCTGGACTCGGATTTGTCATCAGCGACATCATGCGGCTTTTATCTGGGTTCTAAACTTGAATTTCGGTCGGCGGCATATTTTGGCGGAGAAGCAAAGCTTGCGGCAGAGCACCAGCAAACCGTATAGCGGTTCTGGACCGGTGCTAGCAGCAAACCATATGCCGATGTGCTGCTAGCAGCGCTGCTTGCACTGCTCTAGAATCGGCATAAATATACTACTCACTTTAAAAAGGGAAATCAAATTTCGTTATATTTCAGGTGTCAAGAAGTCGGAAAGAAAAGTTCTTTATGTTAGTTCACGAGATCATAAGAGACTGCAGTGTAGATTTAAACTACCACATAGTTCATGAAACCGCATTTTTTGTTTTTGCTTTCGTTTGACAGGAATCGTAGAAAAAATTATGCAAAACGAAGAAAAATTTAACATACAAACAGTCAGGAAATAATATGCAAGAATTTATTTAATCGACCTTTAGTTATAGATGTTTTTTCTGGTTTCTTTTCGAGCCTGAGGTCAAGTTTTTGTTTTTGTTTTACAAGTGTCCGATATTTCGGCTCTCAACGAAAGCCATCTTCAGGGACTCTAAATACAAAAAACACTTAGAATACAACAAATTTCAACAAAAAGGCAAATCGACTTACATTAAAAGAAAAAAGAAAAACTTAAAAGCAAAACTAACATAAAGCACAAAAGACCAAAGAAAATATAAATTATTTTTGCGTAGATGATTTCATTCTATGCTGTCAAGTGGCTGGACTTCGACTGATTTTGGTTTGTATTCTTTTTGTTTTATCGATCAGGTGTCTGTAAGCATGAGCGACGTTCTCTGTGTCCGTTTTGTAATTTATTCTTAATTCTGTCGGTGTGTTAGTTATATGTAGCATTTCTATCGTCAGTCTCTTGTTGTAATTGCTCTCCTTTTGCAATATGCTAACGTTATCAAAATTTGGAGAATGTGAGAGTTCTGCACAGTGGGCCGACAGTGCTGTTTGTTGTGTGTTTCCATTATTGCGCGATCTTAGATTTGATTTGTGTCCACTAATCCTAGTTTTTAAATTATTTTTTGTCGTTCCAACGTAGATTTTTTCACATTTTTTTTGCGTATTTCCATTACATGTTATGCTATATACTACATTATTTTGGTCCATTTTGTCAATTTTGCTTTTTGTGTTGCTGTATAGTTTTTTAAGTGTATTGTCCATTCTGTATGCAATTTTATATTTTTCTTTGTCATAGAATTTAATTTTTGCCATTCTGTCTGCCACTTTTGGCACGTAGGTCATCGACTTCCATATTTTTGGCTGTTCTTTGTTATCCTTGTTATGATTATGTTGTCCATAGTATTTATGTGTAGCTTTTTGATGGCCTGTTGTGGAAAACATTCATGGTTAGTATTTTGGAGATGATTTCGATGTTACTTCTGTGAAATATTGGGTCGCTTATTGTGAGTACCCGTCTGATAAAGTTGTATGCCGTGTTGAATATCATGTTTTTTGGATGTTTTGAAAAATAGTTCATTAGTCGTCCGGACGCAGTGGGTTTTTGGTACCAATTTATTTTAATTACGTTGTTAGTCCTTGTGAGTTGAGCATCTAAGTACGGTAATCGGTTTTCATGTTCTTCTTCCTTCGTGAATTTAATATTTTTGTGATAGCTGTTCAATGCTTCTAGTGTTACGTCCACCTGGTCCTTTTTGATGATGGCAAATATATCGTCAACATATTTGGTTATTAGCCTAGGTTTGGTTGTCAATTTTTTCATACATTCGTCCAGTAGGTCCTCCATCATTATGTCTGCAATTATTGGTGAAAGTGGCGATCCCATAGGTAGTCCTTTTTGTTGCGTGTAGACTCGATCCTTATATTTGAAGTAACGGGTGTCCTTTATGCAAAATTTCAGGCTGTTTATGAAAAATTCCTTCTTCCATTTGGTAGATTCTTCTATATCGTCCCATTTATGTTCGATGATCCTGAGAGCGTAGTCCACAGGTACGCTTGGAAACAGAGAGACTACATCGAAGGATATCATTATCTCGTCGTCGTATATTGGTGTGTCTGATATTTTATTTCTGAAAACTATGGAGTCTTTAACGTTGTATACAGATTTTTCTGTAAGTTTTTTTAGCGTGTTTGCCAGGAATTTGCATAACTTATTGGCAGGTGCGTCTATATTTGAGCAGATAGGTCTTAGTGGTGTATCCTGTTTGTGGACTTTCGGTAGTCCATAAATGCGGGGGGCTCTTGCAGTTGTTGATTTCAATTTGTACTTTTCGCTATTGTTGATGATGTTCTGTGTCGCCATTTTGTCTATGATATCGTTGGATTTTTTTAGTAGTGTTGCCGTTGGATCCTTCAATGTTCTTTTATATGTCATCATATCATTAACGATGTTTTTCATTTTCTTGTCGTAATCCTCTTCGTCCATCGCTACAGTGACATTTCCTTTGTCCGCATCCAAAATTAATATATTTTTATTTTGGTTCAAAAATTTTTGAGTTCGCTCCACTGTCCTTGTTATGAATTTTTCAGTTTTGTCCCACGGTCTTTTGTTTATTTCATTGTCAAGTATGATGGCCACTCTTGTTCTCGCGATTTCTTGCTCTTCTTTTTTTTTAATTGTCTGTATGCAGTCCTCACTGTCAGCTATTATGTTGAATATTGGAAAATCTTGCTGCTTAAATGGTAGTGCGAATTTTGGGCCTAATGAGAGCGCCAATTTTGCATATTCTGGTATTTCGATGTTTGTCTGGTTGGAGAACCAGTTGTTATTGTATATGATGTTAGTGTTATTGTTGTTTTTCTCTTTCAGTTTGTCAAATTTCTCTCTCAACAATTGTTTCGTTTTAGTCTCATACGCTTTACATCTTATTTCTTCGTTGCTTAACAGCTGATCCATTTCTTCCTCGGTTAGGTATTGCTTAATGTTGTTTTGGTTTATATGGCTTTCCCTTTGGTAGGTTTTCATCATTATGTGTTTCTCTTGTATAATTAAGTTCATCATAATGCATTTGGTTCTCTCGATAAAATTTTCTTTGGCACTGACGAATTTTGGCGGGAGAATTTCATCATTATTATTTAAAACTTGACCTCAGGCTCGAAAAGAAACCAGAAAAAACAGTCAGGAAAAAATCATTAAATTTTTCTTGAATCTAAGCGAGTCGGCAATCCTTTAAGAACTCTAGAGCTCTTTGAAATCTAGTGAGAACTCTAAAAAATTTCACATTTGTCGAAAGTTCGGGGGCCAACTTCGCCCCTTGTTTTTGCTTATAACTTTTTTACTATTGGTCAGACAAAAAAACTTTATAAGATTTTTAGTTAGAACTCTCGAGGGGCTACTCAGAACTCTCAACAGAACTCGGAAAAAACAAACGTAATTTTTTTTAAAATAAATATTCGCCCTTCGTTTTTTGCTTATAACTTTTTCACTATTGGTCAGACAAAAAAACTTTATAAGATTTTTAGTTAGAACTCTCAAACTCAAAAGAACTCTGAAAAAACAAACCAATTTTTTTTGTTAATAAAAATTCGCCCCTGGTTTTGGCTTATAACTTTTTTACTGTTGGTCGGGCAAAAAAACTTTAAAAGAGTTTTAGTTAGAATTCTCAAGGGGCTACTCAGAACTCTCAAAAGAACTCTGAAAAAACAAACTAAATTTTTTTTTAAAATAAATATTCGCCCTTTGTTTTTTGCTTATAACTTTTTTACTATTGGTCAGACAAAAAAAAACTGTATAAGATTTTTAGTTAGAACTCTCGAGGGGCTACTCAGAACTCTGAAAACTAAACTAAATTTTTTTGTTAATAACAATTCGCCCCTTGTTTTGTCTTATAACTTTTTTACTATTGGTCGGACAAAAACACTTTATTAGAGTTTTAGTTAGAACTCTGGAGGGGCTACTCAGAACTCTCAACAGAACTCTGAAGAAACAAACTAAATTTTTTTTAAATAAATATTGGCCCTTTGTTTTTTCCTTATAACTTTTTTACTATTGGTCGGACAAAAAAACTTTATAAGAGTTTTAGTTAGAACTCTCAGGGGGCTACTCAGACCTCTCAACAGAACTCTGAAGAAACAAACTAAATTTTTTTTAAATAAATATTGGCCCTTTGTTTTTTCCTTATAACTTTTTTACTATTGGTCGGACAAAAAAACTTTATAAGAGTTTTAGTTAGAACTCTCAGGGGGCTACTCAGACCTCTCAACAGAACTCTCAGAAGCAAATGAGGTAAACGGAGACAGAATTAGGTAAAATTTCTCAAATAGAATAATTTTGGATTTTTTGCAGAACTATTTACAAAACCCTTCAGAACTCTAGAACTCTTTATCGTACACTGGAATATGGCATCAGAACTCTTTTTGCTGGAAAAAAGGGGGCCGCGTGAAGTTGGCCCTCCAAATCGTTTTTCTCGATTTGTGCCCGAAATTCCCCGGAACTACTGCAATTTCGAGCCAGGAACTCTAGAACTCTTTAAAATCTAGCCCGAACTCTGAACCTTCGCGGGAGTTAATATATTCCTTAATTTTTACTTTTAACTTCTTCCAACTTTTGACAACGCGAAAATGTGCATTTTTTGACGGAATAATTTTCGTTTTTCAAAGCCTACTTATTTTTTTGAATGCAGTTTTTTTAAGGTAAAGTTTTCATACATTCACTTTCGTGAACATCTCATACCTCTGGCTGAGAAAAGTGGCAATCGGTTACTTACTGCATTACGTTAGGGTCAAAGAAGTAGCTTGTGTGGAAATTCTAGCCGAATCGCTGACGATATGTGGCGATTGGCGATTGGCGATTTCGAAAACTGCTGGGTACATAAATAGTATAGCTGACTTCCAAAATGTATCTATACAATGTATGGATACTGTTATACTGCGGTATTCAAACTGTTTGTATATGAAGAATTGCGACTAGGGATGGCAGCGACTCATTTGAATAAATTAATCGATTATTTTTGTCCAATTGTCGATTAATTGTATCGTAATTTTGTGTTTCAATAATCGATTATTAATCTTTTCATTGTAAAATAATATTAAAAATAATTTCAAGAAATATGAATTCTGTAGTTTTCTAAAATCCATCCATCGAATATTCTTTTTTGCTATCTACATCAACTTTACTCGACCCAAGGCTCTAAAAAATTCATTTCAAAGATCCGTTAGCATTGGCCTCAGTAATGAAGTTCTTGAGATCTTAAATAATTTGCGCAGATGAAATGAGTTCGATCTTTGGGCCCCTCATAAATCTCTTGTACACAAACGAAGGCGAAAAGATGGTGATTTGGGTCACCCAAGATGAAATAAGTTTTTTATTTAAATTGTCAGGTCCTAGAACTAAAGCGCAATATCATCGCCGCTTGGGAGGAAATGAAAGCTGTTTACCCAAAACTTTACGGACTTTCGAAAAAATACTGTCATTTAGTTGATACCTCGGTGCCTGCTGAGCGCCTTTTTTCAAAAGCTGGTACTACAGCCACCGAGAAACGGAGCCGCTTAACAACAAAACGCTTATCAAAGCTTTTGTTTTTGCAAACTTGCTTACATAATATATAATTATCGCCGCTGAAAAT